TTTGTTAGAGTAATTTATGCTTCTTTGGGTGTATAACCAGTAGTGGGATTGCTGGGTTGAATGGTAAATTTATTTTTAGTTCTTTCTGAAATCTCCAAACTGCTTTCCACATGGGTTGAACTAGCTTACATTCCCACCAAGAGTGTACAAGCATTCTCTTTTCTCTGCAACCTCACCAACATCTGTTGTTTTCTGATTTTTTTTTTTTTTTGAGTCAGAGTCTCACTCTGTCACCCATTCTGGAGTGCAGTGGCATACTCAAGGCTACTGCAGCCTCAACCTACTGGGCTTAGGTGATTCTTCCGCCTCAGTCTTCCAAGTAGCTGGAACTACAGGCACATCTGACTAATTTTTTTTATTTGTTTATTGTAGAGATGAGGTCTCACAAAATTGCCCAGGCTGGTCTCGAACCCCTGGGGTCAAGCAATCTTCTTGCCTCCACCTCCCAAAGTGCTGGAATTACAGGCATAAACCAGTTTTTGACTTTTAAATAAAGGCCATGTTGACTAGTGTGAGATGGTATCTCATTGTGGTTTTGATTTGCATTTCTCTGATGATTAGTGATGTTGAACACTTTTTTAAATTTGTTGGCTGCTTGTATATCTTCCTTTGAGAAGTACTGGTTCATATCCTTTGCCCACTTTTTTTTTTTTGAGTAGGAGTCTCATTTTGTTGCCCAGATTGGCGTTTGGTGGCATGCTCATGGCCACTGCAGCCTTGACCTGCTGGGCTCAGGCCGCCTCAGCCTCCCAAGTAGCTGGAACTACAGGCATGCGCTACCACCCTTGGCTATTTTTTTGATTTATTATAGAGACGTAGTCTCGCCAAGTTGCCCAGGCTGGTCTCGAACCCCTGGACTCAGGCAATCCTCTCACCTCTGCCTCCCAAAGTGCTGGGGTTACAGATGTGAGCCACTGCACCCGACAGCCTTTGCCCACATTTTAATGAGGTTATTAGTTGTTTTTTCCCCTGACAATTCATTTGAGTTCTTTGTAGATTTGGATATTAGTCCTTTGTTGGATGCATAGCTTGCAAATAGTTTATCCTATCCCGTAGGTTGTCTGTCTCAACTCCCCTGCTTTGGGTTCAATTAATTTGCTCACAGAACTCAGGGAAACACATTTACTGATTTATTATAAAATATGTTGTAAAATATACTTATGAAGAGATGCCTAGGCACTCCAGACTGGGCAATGGAGTAAGACTCCTACTCAAAAAAAAAAAGGTGAGAGTGTGAAAAAATTAAACTGAATTATAGACAAGAAAATAGAAGTTTTACACTTTTGGAGAGGTAAAAATTTTTCAATAAAGTGTCAGAGAAAAATAGTTCTTCCTGAAGAAGATTCTTCTTAAAGCCAATTTTTCCCCAAACCAATCTGAATCAAGACCAATTTGCTAGTGATCCATTTCCACGGTCAGGCTCGCCGTATTTCACCTCTTTGAGCATCTGCCCATCCTCTCTGGATTTGGGTGTTTCATGTGCCTTTCAGGAGTCTGGTGTTCATCCTTTCAGACATTCCTCCCTGCATTGGCTGTATTTCCATATTTCTGGAAAGTTCCTATCACTACTGTGATAGTTTATATACCAATAACTCAAGACATCTGTTTTGTTTGATTCTTGAAGCTTTTCCATTCTTTTGTTTTGTTCAATGAGTGTATGTGATCCAGTTACAAAGTAAATGAACACATCCAAATGTTTGTTCTTGTATAATGATAAATAACTGTGTTTAAAAAAAACACAGTATCACAGGCAAGAGGAGTCGAAAGAGACAGACAACTAAATGTAACGTGGTATCCTGGATGGGATCCTGGAACAGAAAAAAGACATCAGGTAAGAAATGGAGGAAATTTGAATAAACTATAGGTTTTAGAGTAGACCCCCTCTTGGCCAAGGAGATGCCACATAAACCTTGAAAACTGGGTTCCCGGGCAACCCCCTTGGGTCCCCTCCCACTGTGGGACCTTTTCTGTCTTCTCAATAAATTTTGCTGTCTCAAAACAAAAAACAAAAAAACTGAGTTCCCAGTCATGACAGAATGGAAGGTCAGACATGCCTCATTATACCCTCTTCCTTTTGAAGTTTAGATAAAACAAGTGACCAGCATTAATGCTATAAAAGAGATCGTAAAACTGATGGAATGGACTCTTTGTGGCAACAAGATACCAATTTATAAACCTAAGGCCATGCCAGCAAAGGTTAAGTTACACACCCCTACACTTAAAGAATAAACTATGTTCTAATTTCCACAAGTCTTTTCTTTTTCTTCAGCAGCTAAACAAGTACTGGTCTAGAGATAAAGCAATACTGAAACAATTACAGTTCATCTACCTCCAGACACTGACTAACTGACACACGTAGCCCCCCACCATTTCCATCCACCAGTCATAACTACAGCTTTGATTGGACAAGAGGCTGATTTCAGTAACTTTCTGCTGCTAAGAGACCAATGACCAGGACTGTTCTGGCTGGTTTACAGAGGCTGCTGCACTGAGTGTCTCTGTGTCCCTGCTTCACTTTTTGACATACAGGGAAGCCTAATTGTAATGCATTTAAATGTTGTCTCCACTCCAAAATGTTCATTGGATCATATGTAGCATGCATATTTATTTAGTACTAAATCATTAGGACTCCCTTCGTGAATATTCACAGCTTCTCCTGTAACTTGTAGAATATATATGTTCAGCCAACCAGGTCAGTATAAAGCTCCTGCTCCCACCTCTCTTCCTTCAAAGTATCTGTCTCTGGTTTCAGCCAGGGTCCAATTCTCAGCCTGCAGGTTGTGACCTTTTCTAAGAAATCAAAGCTCCTTTCTAAATTTATAAATTGTGTGTTTTTTTTGTTTTTGTTTTTTGAGTTGGAGTCTCACTGTCACCCAGACTGGAGTGCAATGGCCGCTCCTGGCTACCGCAGCCTCGACCTGCTGGGCTCTGGCGATCCTTTCGCCTCAGATTTCCAAGTAGCCGGAATTACAGGCATGCACTACCACGCCCGGCTGATTTTTTTATTTATTGTAGAGATGAGGTCTTGCTGCCCAGGTGGGTCTCGAACCCGCGGGCTCAGGCAATCCACTCACCTCAGCCTCCCAAAGGCGCAGGATTACAGGCTGAGCCACTGAGCCCAGCTCTGTGTGCTTTTTTAGTTGACAAAAGTAATGTATTGATATTGATTCTTTATTGTATTAAATGTACCATACTAATGTAAAATGTTAATAATAGGAAGAACTGTGCAGGTGTGTGTGTAGAGGATGTATGAGAAAACTCTTTGTACCATTTGCTCAACTATTTTGTAAATATAAAAATGTACTAAAAACCAAAGTTTTTAAGAAGTAGAAAGATGACAGATGACTTAGAAGATTCTATTTCACTTTCTTTTTTATGCCTGACAGCTAAACTTATTTTTTTTTCCTTTTCATTACCAAATTCCTATCTTTTAACATGATTTACTCTCCAAGCTGACTCTGGCAGATAAAGAAGAAAGTGAAGGTATTTTATGACTATAAATCTGTCTTTTGGGAACTCTAGCATCTGTTTTTTTTTTTTTGAGGTGGAGTCTCACTCTGTTACCCAGACTGGAGTGCAGCGGCACACTCACAGCCATCACAGCCTCGACCTGCTAGGCTCAGGCAATCCTTCCGCCTCAGCTTTCCAAGTAGTTGGAACTACAGGCGTGCACCATCACGTCCAGCTAATTTTCTGATTTATTGTAGAGATGAGGTCTTGCCATGTTGCCCAGGCTGATCTCAAACCTCTAAGTTCAGACAATCTTCTTGCCTCCACCTCCCAAAGTACTGGGATTACAGGTGTGAGCCACCGCACCCAGCAATGACCCTTTTTCTTGTTTTTGGTTTTTGAGTTGGAGTCTCACTCCATCATCTGGGCTGGATTGAGTGGCACGTTCACGGGCACCTCAGCATCGATCTGGTGGGCTCCAGCGATCCTTCTTCCTCAGACTTCTAAGTAGCCAGAACTACAGGCATGGACTACCATGCCGGGCGAATTTTTTTTGATTTATTGTAGGGGTGAAGTCTCACCAAGTTGCCCAGGCTGTTCTGGAACCTGTGAGCTCAGGCAATTCCCTCACCTCGGCCTCCCAAAGTGTTGGGATTACAGGCTTGAGCCACCGCACCTGGCCAATGACCGTTTTTTTTGGACAAAAAGATATATATCAATACAGAAGAGTAAACATGATAGCACTTTCCCCTTCCCCTCAATCCATTTTCCAGAGATCACTCGGTTGAAAGTTTACAGTGTGTTCCTACAGACTTTTTTCTAGAACTACTGACCTCAAACGATCTTCCAGTCTGGACCTCCCAAAGTGCTAGGATTACAGGCTTGTGCTACTATGCCGGGTCGGTATGTTTTTGTTTTCCAATCAAGCAACTATTTTACAAATTAATCTCGAAGTTGTTCCTTTTTCCTTAGCAATATACAATATTGTTAAACTCCTTCTAAGTCAACCACCTGAATCTACTTCACTCTTTTTTTTTTTTTTTTTTTTTTG